GTCTAAAGTACAGCAATTAACGATAATGTTTTATTCATTAATGATGTCAACTTTATGTGGCTAATAATATTTCAGTATAAATTTATACTGTTTTTTTCAGCTGATTGACGAATATAAGCAAAGGGCTAATGATACTTTTTCGAGCTTTGACAATGCACCTTATCCATACCCAGTGAAACCGGCGTATACTGATAACACAGCGCCAAACAATGACGCAGCAAGTTTAACAAGAGCTCGGGGCCTAAGGTAAAATTATAGCGGCACTGTTTTCAAAACAGTTATTTGGGGAATTTTTGAAAACTGTGACTTTATAGGATTTAATATTTATTATTGAACAGCAGCTTGGCGAAATTTTTTTTTTCTCTTGGTTGTTTTGAGTCAAACATCTAAATTATAAAACTTCAGTAGCAATTTCTTTTTCTTGATAGAAGTCAAGCAAAAATATAACATAACTGCACAGTGTTTTTTTACCTTTCTTTTTTTTTAGTAGCAACAACCTTACCAATGGGGCGGTCGCCAGTGGTGGCACAGACGAGCAAAACAGACTACTTGGTTTGAACACTAGTGTTTGACATGGCTTTCGAAAAGCTTAATGTACCTTTTAAGCGACCTCTTTTATGTACAGTGATATTAAAATTACAGCGTATGGTTGAGATGAAAAAAAGTAAAAAACAAAATATACGGCTTTATTTGACAGGCAAAGTATAAAATTTGGGAGGCAATACAAAAAATTTTTTATAGCTTTCAATATGTTGCAACAGAAAATGAGTCTTTTCTATAGCTAAAATTTTTTTTATTAGGTTAGTGTAACAACTGATAAATTATTATCATTTAATTGCTGGAGATTTTTTTATTTATTAGATTCTCAAAGTTTATATATTCAGCTATGGAAACTGAAATTATATTTGACACAAGAGGAAGGACAATCATTTGATTTTTCTTACTGTTGCTTGAATTGTTCCGATTTCTTCAATGGATCTTATTTCAGTTTCCAGCCGGTAGTACGACCCTCATTATTACTTTTAATTACTGTAAATTACTATTCAGGTGTACACTTATTACAGTGCTCAGGCTCAATTTAAAGTGTTAATCTTAGTATTCTGTTTATTCATTTCTAGCAGTGTTTATCTGTATTAAATAATTTTTAAAGAAAATTATTTAAAAGCAGAAAAAGAGTTTAATTATTGCTTAAGTTTCTATGTTTTTCAATGTACATTATAAAACACTTAGCAGGTATTTTTTCTCGCTTAACAGTTTATTAGCATAGGTTATATAGACTGTTAAGTGTCATAGAATTATAGGGAATCACGCTTACATCTCTATTAAAAATTCCTTTTTTTCATTCAAATACTTGCCAACTCACTTGTTACTTTAATCTCTCTATTTTTTTTAATTTTATTTTTTAATTTTTTTTTTGAAGCCTTCTTACAGTTGTCGATGTGAACAGAATAAAATTTGTTGACATTACAGGAGCTAATCTTAATGGGTATACAAAACTGCTTTTTCAATATCTTTTTAACTTGCTCATTGTTTTTTATCTTTCGTTTTAATATTGTAATTGTTGTACAGAATTGTGGCTTATTCAAAATTTGGCACAAGTAAAACGGTTCGTAAATCTATAAATAATGATTGTTAACAGCAGTCCAAAAAAAACTGGCAGTTAAGATTGACTGATGATGACATATGGACGTTCATCATGCTTTAATCTTTTACTTCTCAAAGACTTACAAAAAGTTTAATAGACATGCGTAAATTTGAAACTGTTAAACTGAAAGTTTATTCGGTTCAAAAACTTTATAGTGCAAAGAATATACATCTCTCAAAATAATATATATATATATATTTTTTTTTGAATTTGACACGCAGGAGAAGTTGAAAGATAGCTGATGTTTATCAACTGTTTGCTGTTCTAGGAAACGTTTTTTACTCTTTTTGTTATAAAGATGTATTTATAGTGTTAAGAGAAGAAGTCTAAGTTTGAAGAAATTGTACTGAATTAGTGGCTCATTCCTATTTTGAATATATCCTCTGTTTATTTAATTACTTCTTTTTTTCTACTCTTTTTCTGTTGTTTATGTTTATTTGGAATTAAAAAAGTTTATCAGTTCATCAGTTCCAAGTAATCAGTTTTGATTTGAACTGTTTTAAGTCGCTAGTTTTATCTTCTCTTTAACCTAATTTGCTCAACCGTAATAAATAAATTTAAATGAAATTGACTTTTCTCCGGCTTTGAAGAAAGTGTTAAAGTGAGAGATGTATATTTTGTATGTTTGTTTTGCAGTAAACTTTGAGGATTTGATGTGATAGGTGTAAGCTGTAAATATGGGAAAAAAAAAAACATAGTTTGTTGAAACTGTTACGAGTAGTTTGCATTCAATGATCACTGCCTCTAAATAGAGGCTCTGTAGTGACAATTTCACTGCCAAGTTGATACTGGGCAACAGTTGCCTTGACTGTAAAAAAGAGAAAAAAAAGCTTTTTTTGAGCAACAGACATTAGTTATTCTATTATAATGGGGAAAAAAAAAAGTATTAAAAAGCTGTAAAGCAAGCAAATTATTATTACAGCCAAGTTTTTAGAGGTGCCAAAAA